ACCAGGAGACTTGGGCTGGCTCTGGACAGGCACTCGACTATGATGATTTATTAATATACCATTTGCAACCCATCTAACAAATTTTATTTTTGTGTTTAAAATTTGCACTCAGATCTGAGGTAATTATTCACTTCCATTTTTCCATCATGCTTACAGATATAGAAGGCCAAATCCTCAACTGGGGTAAATCAATATAGCTCTGGATCTGGCATGTATGTTTATGGTTTTGGATTTGTTGTACTGACTCCTTCATTATTTAAGAGATCTTGCAAAAGTAGAATTTTCAGAGAAATGATTTTTAGAACTATGAAAGACGTTACCCACTTTTTTGATGCCACATGAGGCAAACACCAGTGCTTTCCTTGCCAGCCAGCCTTTAAACGTTATTTGGCAATCTCTGCTCTCAAGTTCAATATATGTAACTCCTTTTTAAACCTCAGTCAATTCTTTTCTTTTACTAAATATCTTCTAGAAGTGGGTGCAGGCTATCTGTGAGGAAACAGTCTGACCATATGAAGCTAGCACATTTACTTGTATTGCAGTGTTGCAACAGCTGTGGTAGTGTGACTAGGCTTTAGGAATTCAGGGAAATCAACACTGGATGGACTGAATCAACACTTTTGGATTAAAAATGTATAGGTTTAATGACTTGGCCTACCTGTATGTTAAATGTGCCTTTATAATTCTTTCACTCCCTAAGTCATGTCTGAGAGGGTATGAAGTCATGTTTAATTGTTTATAAAGATTCTCCAGCAGCAGAAAATTTGAATACTTGCTAGGGGGTAGGGCATTTGCCAGTGGTGGGTGGGTGGGTTCAAGTCCTGGCTTGTCTGCCCACATGGGAGCAGCCTGACAGCCAACACAGGCTGCCCCACGGATGGAGCTGGCTCCCATATTAGGAAGGCAGGATAAGGGACCCTCTGAAGGTAGTGTGGGTTCTGGAGTGGACTAGGGAATAGAGCATTCACCTAGGAGTGCAGGGTGGTGGACTCTTAGGCTACATCTGTACTACAAGGTTTTTGTGCAAAAGCATTTTGCACAAAAACCTGCGAAGCGTCCACACCTCCAATGAGCTCTGTGCAATTAAATAGGCAGTTAAATGGCAGAACAGAAGATTTTTTCCGCCGTAGGTAAACCTCCTTTTCTGAGACAACTGCTTTTAGCACTACAGCTATTGCATAAGAAGGCAAGTGTGGACACTCCAGAAGGGTTTTCTTGCGCAAAAAACCCCTATGGGAAAAAGCACAGGTGCTCCGATGGCCATTCTATGAATGGCCATCAGAGCTTTCTTGCACAAGAGAGTCTAAGCAGTGTGGACACTCTTGCACAAAAGCACATAGCTTTTGCGATGTGCTTTGAGGTGTGGACATACTCTTGCACAAGAAGTTTTTGTGCAAAAACTCTTGTGCAAAAGGCTTCTTGTGCAAGAAGCATGTAGTGTAGACATAGCTTATGCCTTAACCCTCTCCTAAAGTTGGGTATATGGGCCAGATTAACTTTTGTCCTAGCAGATGAACCCAGTACTTACCCTGTGAATAAACTGGTGAGAGCCACTCCTACTGATTATAGCCAGTAACTCAGTGATTAGGGCATTCACATCAGATGCAGAAGATGATGATTCAAGGCTATGTTCCAAATTAGATGAAGTAGAGACTTGAATATGGGTCTTCCATGTGAGTGTCCTAAGCATCGGACCATAGTAGCCAGTCCTCAAAATTCTTGATCTGTTTGCATTTTATGCAGGGTCTGATCTTGTAGGCATGACATGAGAATGCATATGGGATTGGGACCTGCAAGTAAGAGGTGATACCTCATTTGAGAATCCTGCTTTGGGGCCATGCAAGGGCTCTGGCTTCAACAACTGAGCCAAGCAGCTTATTAGCTATGAGGCAACATCAGCACTTAGGTGGCTTAGCACATGCTCGCCAACAGAAATTTAGGCATTTGTGGGGTGAGGTGACAACTAAATGGTAGTTTGTCAGTAGCACCTAATATTGAATTTAAGAACTGGAAGGGGCCATTAGATGCCTATGTGCTATTGTCGATCTAGCCCTAAGTGCTCAGACATTTGAATACAATGCTGACTGCCCCCTTTGCTCTGGATATTTGGCAATGAAGAAAACGGTAGCAAGACATTCTCAATAATCAAATGTTGATGATGGGGCTGACACCATATTTCATCACTAGTTGTGTTCACGGAGAGCCATGGATATTGTATTAAAGGATTTTACAGGGAAATGTTAATCTGTAGCACCTAGCACAGTGGTTGGTGGACAACTAGTTTCCTCAGGCGGCCCATCAGGTTTTTATGTGTGACCCATGAGACATTTTGGTTGCTATTGCCCAGGTGCAAGGTTGCCAGATCCCTCTGGTTTCCTTACACACACTTTTTTCCCCTACCAGTATTAAAGTAATACACACAAGTAAGTGTATGTAAAGTGAGGGGTGTGCTCACTGCACGCAACATTGACTGAGGGACATGAACTCCCTCTGCATCCAGTGAAAGTGCCACTATGTTTCAATTGGCACACCCCACAAATTCTAGGTGTGCAAGTGTGGTTAGCAAAACTGTCCTCTTCTGAGACACTGTCTTGGTCACCACAATCTTGGGGCCCACTGAGCCACTCATAGGGCCCACTGACTAGCTTAGGTTGCCCATCGCTGACCTAGAGTTCCTTGAATTCTGGCCCTAAAATGAAACTGATATGGAAAGTATCCCTTGGCTGCAATGGAGAGAGAGGTGAACTACCCACTTCTGCAACCATTGCTATAATATTGAGCTGCTATTTGTAGAACTTTCCATGTCTCCTGAATTGTTTCTAGACTGAAATGACAAGGGAACTATTGAAGGCCTTTGTCCCTTTTACTGCATAGTACAGTAATTAAAGTTCTTAATTCACAGCATCCTCTTTCTAAAGATCTTAGAGATAGACATCTATGTGGCACTTCCAGTTTCCTCCTCTGTCTGAAGCAAAGGAAGAGAATAGGTTGTTTAAAAAGAGTCATGCCAATGTTTACTTGATATAGGTACTTTTTGACATATCCTGTGTAGATAACTTGTGACAATGTAATATCGTCCACTGTTGAGGAATAAATCTGAAAATGTGCTGATGGCAGTGGTAACATTCTACAACTTAGAAAGTGCTTGCTAGTACATTTTGTATTGACCCTGCTTCTGTTTCTAAGTAAACACAACAGTTCTGCTTTGCTTGCTTCAGACCTTATTTCGCTGATCAGAGTTTAAAAGAAGACAATAATATAAAATGACATCAAATAGCAATAGCTCTCACTCTCAAGCAGCAGCAATTGTACCTTAATAAACCATAGTATTCACGATTTATGGCCAGGCATACCTATTCATCTTTGATTTCAGGAGGTCTTTTCAAAGGCATGATATCTCAGCATAATCTTCAAACCACTTTTACCTTCTTCTAGTTGCAGTGCCCCATTCAAAATAAATAGCACTTCCACATTGTAAGGTCAAAACATGTTGCACCAGAATTAAGAACACCCTTGAAAGATGTCATTGTAAGAATAATAAACAATAGTTTTTCCTTAGGCATGTGCCAATGTTAGAAGTCCTAACATTTCGTTATCATATCAATCTTTTACTGTCTTCATTGCCTTGTCACCCGTGTAAGGTGTCAAAAATAACCTACTTATTCATTTTTATTATGTCACCAGACGTTTCCAATTGAGGTGGGTGACTCATTGTGCCAGGTGCTTTACTGACACATAGCAACTGATAATTCCTGACCTAAAGAGAAGTACACAAGACAAAAGGCAGGAGAAAGAAAGGATTGTAACAATTCATATTTTAGAGGGGAAAAACTGAAGCACAGAGACTGAATGACTTGCCCAATATCACACAAGCAGTTTGTGGCAGAACTGGGCAGAGAATCCAGATCACCTCAATCCAGGTAAGTGCCTTTCCAAACCTTCTTTCTGATTGGAATGTTTGGTAGTTTCTTCTTCAAATCAGGTAGGAGTGAGAATTATTTCATGTCCTGAGTTTGGCAATTTAGATCCAGTGCCAAAACAGTGTATAGTATAATCAATTATTATATTTATTGCTTTTTCAGTTACCATAATCTTTAGACCTACAAACTTTGTTTTAACTTCATGTAGACTGAACAAAGAGATCAATCTGCTTGCTCATTATTGGCAAGAGAACCATTTCTGGAGCCTTCTCTTGGCACATCTCCATTCCAAATTTGCAGTTGCATAGTCTTTCTGACATGTCCTTTTTCTCCTTAGTAGGCACAATTGTTCTTTGTCCTTTACAGGACAGACTAGCATGCATAAAAATCTCAGCTCAGCCTAAGGAGTGATTTAATTCTGTCATGTTTGGGACCTGTTATATGGCCCCAAAGCAAGTTTCCTGTGATTGTTATCAAGTAGTCTTTCATGAATTCCTGCACTGTGCTTTATTGGTAATAGCAATACTGTGTTAACTTATTTCTAGTTTCTCATCTAGATTTGTGTGGTGTTGGAAAATTTCCTCCTTAAACTCATTGCTATGTATTTTGCTGCTTGCTGCCTTACTTATGTTGTTGCAGGACAGGTTCCCATTCTAGTAAGAAAGAGTTTAAAGATCTCCTGTGGGCACCATCTTCCCCAACCTGTGGCAGTCACACCTGGAACATGGAAATTCCATTTTGTTTTGTGTGTGCATGTTGGTTAAAACAGATGATCCCTGCCACAATGAGCTTATGGTATAAGTACATACTGAGATATGAGTGGATAAAACAGAATCCAGAGCAGAAAGTAACTCCACGCACGTACATTAAATGTGTGAGTGGATAGTATGGAGTGGAAGTTAAGCTTTTATCAGCATTAACTTGCACTGGATTTTTAAGGCGGAAGTAGTCTCTGTTCCAATGGACACATTTCCCCTCCCCCCCCCACTGCTTCATAGGTATCATGGCTTTCCCTTTCAGATCTGCGGAGCCTGGAATGTTCCAGGTGAGCCTCAAGGGCTTTCACAGGTGCTCAATTACCTCTGCTTCCCACTTCTCCAGGTTGCGTGGTATTTCTTTTCTTGTTTGCCCTGTTTGTTAAATTCCACGTGTCACGTTGGAGGAGCGCATCGGGATCTCAGTCCCAAACCATAAATTCAGCCATAGTTCAGTTCAAACAAAGATGTATTGCTCAACTTGTCTGCATCTTTTTTTCTTTTTAACTGAGTTACTACAGGTCACTGTTCTTCAAAACAGGCTGTCAGGTGCACAAAATAGAGTGATGCTGATAAACTGGGGTTGGTAACTGCAGCAGGTGAAGTTGGAGTTTTTCTTGGTGACCTCATAGAGGGTTCTTTTCAAACATCTTCACTGTCACATGGTATTCACCGCCAAACAGCTCGATTGGCAGCTATAAGTTAATATCTGTGTGGTGTTAGTACATAACGCTAAGCCTTTGTGAGACCACCATTATGACATTACCTTTGCTCACCTCACACATCAGTTTTCTGACAGCCAGTTCACAATTAAGTGGTTGATTTGATATATATTTTCTTATCCATTTGGGAACATGAGCAGTCCAGTCAAAATGAAACTTTCATTAGAATTGCTTAATTGTGAAACCACAATACTGCTGGATATTTTATCTTGCCACTTTATATTCATGAGTGAAGGAATCCATTGTGGCAGAAATACAGCTCTTTTGAATTGAATTAGTAGTTAAACTCATGTCTCTGCCCCATAGAATCATAAGCCAGGAAGGGACCTCGAGGTCACCTAGTTCAGACCCTACACTCATGGCAGACCTAAATATTATCCAGCCCATCCCTGACAGGTGTTAAATCTGCTCTTGAAAATCTTCAACAATGGAGATTCTACAACCTCCCTAGACAATTTATTGCAGTGCTTAATTACTCTAACTACTCTTGCTGGAATTTGAATCCATTGATGCTGCTTCTATCCTCAGAGGTTCAGGAGAATAATTTCTTCTCCTTCCTCCTTGTATCAACCTTTTATGTACTTGAAAACTATTTTTTTTGTCCCCACTGTTGTCTCGTCTCCTGACTAAATAAACCCAGTCTTTTCAATCTTCCCACATAGATCATGTTATTTACATCTTATTCATTTTTGTTCTTCTCTGAACTTTCTCCAGTTTGTCCATCTTTCTGAGATACAGCATCAAGAACTGGACATGATGCTCCCACTGAGGCCTAATCAGTGAGGAATAGAGCAGAATAATCACTACTTGTCTGTTTACAACAATCCTGATAATGCTTCCCAGAATGATGTTTCCATTTTGATGATGTTGCAATGCTACACTCCTATTTAGCTTCTGATCCACTATGACTCACATTTTTCTGCAGTACTTCCGCCACTATTATTGATGCTCCCTGCATGTAAGAATAGGAACTAATATTCATTTCAGTTCTAATTTCATGTCATGCAAATGCACGTGTTTTTCATATGCATATGGACATATGTTTCAAGGAAGAATGAAAACAGGCACAACTGGTGCTCCAAGTAGCTGAAAGCTCTCGGGCAAGTAACTCGTGTGGTTGGCTCATGCTATTGTCTTGTAAGCCAAACATCCTGAAAACCTGGTATAAAGAGGCTTAAAAAATACTGCAATTCTGAAAACCTGCAAATGCACATTTTAAATGTGCAGTATTTGAAAAGGGGATGAAATCTCTTTAATCTACAATAAATTTGTTCTTTATTTATTATACTTCAGGAACACCTGCATTTTATTTTGTCCACGAGCATTATAAATACTTGATTCACTCTGAGAATATCTACAGTTACACTGAAGTCAAATTGTCTGAGCCAGTCAGAACAAAGGGAGAATATATAATTATTGACTCTTTTGTACAATTATTTCTGTTACACAATTTCCTGCACTGGCTGAGTAATTTGACTTTCAGGTTTAGCATAATTGTAACAGTGTTGTAATTGGCATGATTAGCTGCTGCCCACAGACCTTCCCATTTAGATTTCCAAAACAAATATGGTAGCTTCAGATGTTAACTCCTTTGAACCCTACTTATTAAATATCCTTTTTTAAAAAGATTACTCGGTTGTGATTAATATGACACACTAATTTAATTTAGGGCCAAGGTAGAACAGTAGGTTGACAGCAAAAAGCTTGAAATTAGCGGTTGAAAAGGTGAGAGAAGCAGCGGTGACCATTTTGTGGTGAAATGACTCCTGAGAAAGAAGCCAATCAATGTGCAAGCCTGACAGAATAGACACCACATTCTCACATAACCCAGGACATTCCCTGTGATGTCAGTATTGGTTAATAACCTGTATTGATTCTCCTCCTTTGCTCTCAGACTTTATTTAGCCTGTGATATTGTGGTTACCTTTTTGAAATAACGTGTTCATTACTTTGTGTGGCTTTTAAAACGAACCTGTAAGTGCCGTTAATAGCAGTGCCAAATAACTGCAGTGCACTTTGTGACAATATATCACTAAATGCATCCCATGAAGTCATAGCAATTTAAAACCATTGAATTACCAATACATGTAATGCCAACTTTAAATGACAGCCTAAAACAATAATACTGGGTAGGTAAACAATGGCCCAAAGAGTAAGTGATACTGGAACCTCAAGAGTGTTGGCTGTCCTAGACATTCTGACAGCTCAGGAGTCAGTGAGGAAGTACAGATGGAGCCAGTCTGTATTGGCCCCACTAGATATGCTTCTCTCAAACAGCAGGAAAATTAACGAACTGTGCCAAAGTCTGGAATAAGTCACTTAACAGGGAAATTTATGAAATAGCAAAGACCACCTTCGACATGAAGTATAAAGAAAACGTATGTGTATGTGTCTTCTGTGTGCCATCAACACCCTTATAAGGCCTTCTTTGAAATTATTTGTGCAGATTTTTCCTGGAAACAATGTGATGAATAAACAGCAAAAAGACTTGATTTATATTCTAGACTAACATGTTAACAACAAAGACTGAAAAATAGTCAGGGACATAGTTTTTAAAAAATACCGAAATGGGGTTACATTTCAAAAGAGGTTGACTTGGATCCTCATCCATCTCCCATTAAAGTGGGTGACCAAACTCCAATTAACTTCAATGGGAAAAGAGTCTATCACAAGGAAATTCAAGCCTGGACTTTGTATTTAAGTAAGTGACAATATGAAACACTTCTAATGCAGCTAAAATGTACAGGTGAGGTGAAAAGCCAAACTGAAAACTGAGTTACTGACATTTCTGTGTGAAAGTTAGACAGGCTACTGGGGCCTTTAGAACAAAGTTTAATCTTTAAGTATTCTTTTTTCTTTCTGTAAAACATTTTTCACAAACTATTGCTCATGAGGTAACATCACAAATACCAAACTTCATATATTGTGTTGTAGAATCTGTTCAGTCATCCAGAGGGAAGTTTTTACAGAGATGAGCAAAAAGAATTATGAAGTATTAAATGTAATATAGTTTTGCTCTGATAGCCTGTCATAGTTCAGTGACTGGGAATATTCAGCATAAAAATATAGTCATAGAAAGTGGTCATTTGTGATCTGCCCTTCACTTTAAAAAACCATTATTCTGCCCAGAATTTCACATTGTGATAAATGCATTTCATGCTTCATTTATATCCCACCACACAAGCAATAGCCTAAGAAAACAGTTATTATAGAGCAAAGATAGGACTCTTTGGGTTGAAGAAGCTGTTCTAAATCTTGTGTGATGATAAAATGAGAGAGGAATTACCACAGAATAGGAAGTTGCAATGCAAGATTTTATTCTTGCCTGATCAGCTCTCCTACACTGACATGGCTCCTGAGAGTGTGTCTTTGCTACATCATGTATGAATGCTGCAGTGATCGATGCACCAACAGTTATCTGCTTAGACACAACAAATCAACATCCCAGTGCTCTCCCATTGACTCTGGTACTCCCCTAGATGAATAGAGTAGGAGTCGTCCTTTCAATGGGGGAAACTGAGGCATCCCAGCAGGCCAATGACAGAACGAGGACTAGAATTACTGAGTCCTACTCCAGTGCTCTATCCACAAAGCTCAATAGCTAAACTCCAGCCCACCCTTAAAGTAGGTGTGGATGTAACTTAGTCATCTACACTATAACTTAGAACAGTGATTCCCAGCTCATGTACACATACTAGCTCATAGTTTAAAGTCATAGCCTTAGAAATGGAGGGTGGGGGAAGAGGGCCGAAGTGGAAGTAGTCACAAACATGCTGTGTGTACCAGGAAGTATAGGTACTTTGCACGGGTGAGGGGAAGAACTACTATCATAGAGATCGGGTTATAGCAATTGGAAGTAGACCCAGAAATGCCATAACTAGCATTGGGGAAGGGGTTCTGGAGTTAGGAAAGGGACTTGGAGAAGAGAGAGGCTCCAGTAGCAAGGTGTGATGACAGTGAAAGGGAGCCACAGGCAAAAGAAAGACACAGATATACTCAAAAACCGACATGGAGGAGACTGATACCAGGAAACCAATTCATGAAGGGGCTGATCCAATATGCACAGAAGCCAATGCATAGGCCCCTATTGTTTTCAGTGGATTTGAGTTAGGCCATTTGATTTGACATGGTTTCATGCCAGAATATCTAAAATACCTTAGTTTTTACTAGCTGATGGTCT